TTGTATTTAGAAAAAATATTTGCTCTGTAGGATGGCTCTTGGGGAAGGGGAGGGTGAGGGATACTGGGGGGAAACGATAGTAATACAAAAACCAAAAGACATCAACAAAAACTTACTAAAAAAAGAAAAACGGTCCCTACTCTCAAGGACCTCACTCTAATTAGGAAACAATTTGTGCAGGAAAGTTCAGCTTCAAAGCACATAGAAAGGCCCAGAAGTCCTAAGGGTTTAGTGATGGGAAGATGGCAAAGCCTGAAGTTCTTAGGTTTTATAAGTAGATCAAATGACAGTGCTTGTAGATTTACAGGATGGAGAGGCAGGGCAGACAGTAAGGCCTGTTGCTTCTCTATCTTATGAGAACTAATGGAGTTGTTGAATCCCAACTCATCCAAGCCCTGAGCAGTCAAGCAGCCTAGGCAAAGGGAAGAAGGTATTAAGTTTTCCTGTTGCCTGGCATCCTCAGTAGGTTCTGGGATGCCACTGCTTGAAGATCTCCAAAAAGAGAGAACCCATTACCTCTTGAGGCAAGCCAATCCATTTTTGGATAGCTCTAATCATTAGGAAATTATACTGCCTTCCATCTTTCATCTATTGTTTCTGTGCTCTGGAGTCAAACAAAATAGGTGTTATCCTTCTTCTGCATGAGAAGGAAGGAAATAAGTACCTATTAACGTGCTATACGCTTTTCAAATACTTCATTTAATCCTCACAACACCCCTGAAAGGTACATACTATTATTATTCCCATTTTGCAGTTGAGGAAACTGAGGCAAATAGCAGTTAAGTGACTTGCCAAGGGTCACACAGCTAGCAAATGTCTGAGGTCGTATTTGAACTCAGAATTTCCTGTTTCCAGGCCCAGGGCTCTATCTACTGCACCATCTAGCTGCCTAGAAGCCCAGAAGCTTTCCAAATTCTTGAAGATAGCTATCATTTACCCCCTTGATTCTTCTCTGCCCAGTACTATCAATCAACCTTCCTATGTCATAGACTCAACTTGGGAGTAAAACAATTAATCCACATATTTGATATCTTGGGAAATTACTTGGATTTCCCTCATCATTCTGGTTGCCCTTCTCTGGACACTATCAATATCTTTCTTAAACCCTGGTGTCCAGAACTGAACACAGTACTCCAGATGAAGGGTGACAAGTGTACAGTGGGGTTATCACCTCCCTATTCCTAGAAGCTATGTCCTCTTAATGCAGCCCAAGTTCAAATTAGCTTTTTTTGGCTGCTACAACACACTGCTGACTCATTTTGAAGTTGCAGTCCACCAAAACCCCCAGACCTTTTTTCAGAACTGCTGATTAACCATGCTTATCCCACCTTATACTTGTGAAGTTGAATTTTTGAAGCCCAATGCAAGGATTTATATCCCTATTAAATTTCATGCTTTAGCTTGTCAAGAAACTTTTAGATCATGACTGTTATGCAGTATGTTAGCTATCCCTGTCAACTTTGTGTCTGAAAATAAGCGTATTATCTATGCCTTTTATCTAAGTCAATGATAAAAACAAGAAATAATGTAGAATTTAGCGCAGACTCCTGGAGACCTCCAGCCATGGTGACATTGAACCATTAACAAAGACTTGAGTCTGGCCTTTCAACCAGTTCTGAATCCATCTATCTTATCTTCTAATGTATATCTTTCCATCTTCCACAAGAATAGCATGAGGTATTTTCTCAAGCATTTTTCTAAAATCTAAGTAAATTATATATACAGAATACTGGTTTAGTAATCCTGTCAAAAAAGGAAATGAGATTAGTTTGGTATGAGGAATGGTTTGATGGAATGATAGTTTTTAAACTGTATGATCTATGAACAAACAATAGTTTTTAAATAGTATGATCTGTGAACAGAGACTTCTTCACATGATCCCCTAACAAAAACTACCCCTACTTGGGGGAAAAATCCCTCAGGAATCCTTAGCAGAGAAATCTTCAGAATGGGAACCAACCAAACCACAGACCCCCTAAAATAAGTTTTCTCCCTTGAAAGAAAAAAAAAACCCTGTCTCCTACTTCAAGACTGTTTTTGTGACAGAGAACTTAGCATCCTAGGAAGTATTCCACCGAATTTTTAGATAGCTCTGACAGGAAATTCCTTTCATTGAGAAGGAATCTATCTTTCTCTAACTTCCATCCACTGGTCTTAGTTCTATCTTATGGGGCCAAGTAGAATAAATCTAAATCTAAACCTTCTTTCCTGGGACAAATTTTCAAATATTTGGAGATAGGTATCATGTGCTCATTATGGAGGGTTCTTTAAGATTTCAGTTTGGAGTTAGCCATTGACCCTAAATCTGAAAACATTTTTTTCAACCACTATAGCAAATTATCCACAATCAATAAACATTGTTTTTGTTCAGAAAGCACCAATGTTAACTTATTATGGCATTCTAAATTGGAGTTCACATATACAGGGTACAGAAAGAAACATGCTTGTTTGCATATAGCCACTGTGTGGTTTCATTTTGCTTAACAATGCTTAAATTTATTGGAGAGGCAGGATTACCAATATTGATGCCAAAAAACAGGGCCACAGAAATATCTTTTTAAATGAACAGAAGAAACCAGAAGGAAGTTCAGAAGGAAGCACAGATAATCAGGAAGGTTTTTAAAGTAATATGTGACATTTATTATATATAGTACTTTGAAAAAGCAATATGAAATGAAGATTCACAGTTTTCATATGCAATATTCTTTCTGTATTCTGATGTGCATGTAGAAATGTTATTTTTTCATGTTTAGTTTAAAATTTTAAAAATATATATTAAAAATACATTGGAGCTCATGAAAGAAAAATTAGCAACTTGTTCTCAATACTATTTTGTACTTATGTCAATGTTCATAATGTTAATGTTCATATTTGGGTTTAACAACTGGCAAATTAATTTCTATAATAGAATGCTTTGGATTATTGTACAGAGTAGACTTTATAAATTTTCACTCTCCTATATATGTAATATGCAAATATATACTAAATTCTACAATATGAAATGAATATATGTATTAATTTAATCTAATGCTTTTTGAATCCATTTTTTCCCCAATCTATTGTTTGTCAGGCATATTAGCAGTTTTATAATTGGCTCTTGTGCTTAGTTGCCAATAAGGAGATTCCTTCATCATCTCAAAGCTCCAAATCTTTTTTAGGTTTTAGTTGTACATATCTGTAGAGTCCCTGAAAGTTTCCAGGGGAACTCTAGTATATACTTCATGGGATGACCCCTACAGACTCATTCTCTTTCTGTATTATGGGATATAACCCTTACGATAGTTTTTCCTCCATTAACTATTTGCTATCCCCAGTAAATGGACTGCAGTGCAAATGTTCCTATCCCCACGTGTGTAAAGTTCTCTGGGCCCCTAGAGAGGTCCAAGCAATGTTCTTTCAAGTGCCCTCACCTTTCTCCCCACCTTGTCTTGCACTCAAGAATCCCAAAAGGTGCAGTTCAGTCCTTAAACACTACCAAATTTACAGGTTTTATGGAGGGCCCAAGCCTTCCACAGCTTTCATTGAGTTATAACAGGATCACAGATTAGAGCTAGAAGGGTCATCAAGTCGAGCCCCCTTATTTTACAGAAGGGGCAGCTGAGGCATAGAGCTAATGGGTATGAAGATCACAATCACCCCCAAATACAAGTAAATTCAACAAGCAAATGACACTTTACAAAGATTTTTTTAAATGTTATAATGTTAAATGTTACAGTGTTATCAAGAAGGGCCGTAGTGCCTGTAGGAGATAACTCCTGTCATACAACAGATCACACCGCTAGAACTTACAAGGTTGTCTCAAAGGCCAGTCATATCCATCTTATGACTGCAGTTCAAAGCTCAGGAAAGAAAACACAAATTGGAAAAGGAAGTCAGGGACCTCCAGTCCTGGGTTCAATTCACCTCGTTGAACCCCTGTACTACTTGCCACAAGAAAGCAGCCACCATGCTACCAGGGTAGAAAAGATAACTCCTTCCTCATCCCTGCTTTGTTTTACTTAAGAAGGGCCTTTACCAACTCAAGAAAATGGGGGGAGGAAGGAGAGAAAGAAAAGAAAATTAAATTAAAATAATTAACAAGTGAAAAAGTTTTTAAAAAAAGGAAAAGGAAATGTTCACCTTCACTTCTCAGAGGGGAACATTACCGAAAAAGAACACATGGGATCTTTCTATAGGGATTAGGGACCTGGAGTCAACTGGAAGTCACTCCTTCCTCTTAAAAATTTTTCTGGGTTCCTGCAACAAATAGAATATCTGACATTTCTCCCATGTGTTTCAGCCAACTTATGGGGCAATCCAAATTGAATTCCAATTCTCATTCCATGGTAGAACAGAAGGAGCTAACTCAAAAAGAAAAACTCAGATGAGCCTGGAACACAGAAGGGGCTCCCCAAAAGAATTAAGCAATGAAGTTTATAGGAGTTGGACCTTCAGATTCCTGATAAGTTTCCCAGGTATAACAATAAGAACCACTATTGGGTTCAAAGGAGTCAGGGAGCTAGGCCCTCTTGCACTCTGCAAAGGGATCCTCTCTGCTTTGTACTCATTTATATGAACCAGGTTCAGTTCTTGGGAAGCCTGGCCTCCAAAGAATAGGATCAGGATCTTTTTCTCACTTAAAACTTTAGTTGATTTGTGGTCTAGAGTCTCCCTTTCTAAAGTTCTAATGCAGCTTTCATGCAGCCTCCTCCTTCTTTAGCCACTATAGGGGAGGAACCAAGGGTATCCCCAAGGTTTGTTTTGTCACCCTGAAGAAATAAATCCTTTAGAAGCATATGCTTCCTCAGAAATGACCAGAGCAACAAAGCAAACTCTTTATGGGGTAGTCCTGGCAAGCCCATCTCCACACATGCTCTCTGAGGAACAACCCCCATTACACATGAAACAAATTTCAATTTATCATAAGTGTTTTATTCAAATCACATATACTATTACATGAATATTTCCTCTGAGAAGTTTACAGTTATTTCATGTATATATGTTAGAATTTTTACCCTGTATTTACTGCAGTATACAAAAATGTCTTAGTGAAGGTTAATTATGTTTGACTTATTATGAGTTAAAAGTATTAATCATCATTTAAAAATAAACATTTAATGCCACTGGTGCTTTGGTCATTAAAAAACCCAAACAGAGAAACCCATTAGTTCACCTACCCAAGTTAAAACTAATTTGTTTTTTCTTCATACTGTAAATAAATACTATCTGTAATCTTTGATGTGTAAAATATTTAGTGATAGTCTAAGAACAAAATTAACAAGCTGTGAGATCTATATTTTGCTATGTGAGCTCCCTATAGCTGGCCTGTGGTCCACATCCCTTCCAAATTCTACTTTGCATGTAGTAGTCATTTATGGAGACAAAGCCTGATAGAGAGCTGGCCATGGGGTCGGGAAGACCTGAGTTTATGTGTTGCTTCTGATACAAACTGGTTATATGAGTTAACATCTCACTTAACATTTCAGTTCTCCAGGCAACTTTCTGATACTATACAACTCAGAACAGCTGTTGATCTGCATTGGTGGAGGAAATTTCCTCGTGAGGAGTTCCCTATACTGATGAAATTACAGATCCAGGGCAAAGAAAAAGTCACTCATTACCATGTGGCTTTGAATAATGGTTTTACTAAATAAATAGAACATTTGTTTGCAGAGAAATAAAATTAATCATTGTCCTAAATACCAAAAAACATTTTTAAAGCTATTTTTCAGATTTCTATGTTAAATTTCTTCCTAATTCTTTAAAAACATGAGATATTTTCCATTTCAATCCATTTCAGGGTTGTTCTTGAAGAGATATTCCGCCTATAATTGAAATAAAAAGAAAACATTAGCCATTTTAAAAACATTTCTTCTTAGATATGTTTTTGTACAGTTAATGGCTAGGAATTTTATGACAAAATTATGTGAAGGTTCTGTATAAGTTGTAAATATATTTAAGGCTCTAAACCAAATGATAAACATTTTTACACATTAATTAATTTAGCTGCTTTGTTTTCAATCAAGATACCTCCAGTGTGTGAATACATGCTCTATAGAGGATTTAGGGAAAGGCATGGACATAGACTGACAAGAAGGACATGTCCATACCAAAAACTGACCAAGAGAATGGATTAGAGACCTCAGTCTATGATGGACATCAATGAACTCAGAGATCCTTTTTCTAACATATATTTTCAAGATGGTGTAATTTTTTTTTTAAAAAAAGCTTTTTCCTTACCAGAAAATCGACTGGATCATCTGGCCTGACCTTACAACATTCATTCAGGCCTCGCATGAGTGTTGGCATCACATTTGTCATTAAATAGTTTCTAAGTGGAACAGATTGTGCCTCAAGTAATTCTCTTTCTTCTCTTTTCACTTCCTCTAGTCGTTTATTCTGCAAATTTGAGAAAAAAACTCAATGAAGTATCAAATATCAAAGAATACAAATTATCCTTTTAGACCTTGGAGGTTGTGGGAGACCATAGCATATGGTTCATACCACACACCAACACACACACACACACACACACACACATGCAGAAACACACATACATGGGGTAGGGTTGGGAGTGGTGGAATAGAGAGAGAAGGTGGTTCATATCTCTTCTTGGGAGCAGCATTTCCTTGTTCCCATCCTGTTCCTACTTGAGATTTTCCCCAAAGCAGGATGACATAATGAACAGAATACTGGACTTGAAGTCAGGAAGCCTGAGGTTCAAATCTGACTTTAAAACACTTGCTTGTCATGTGGTAGAGAAGAAAAAAACATTGTATCTGGAATCAGTGAGGTAGTTTCAAAACCTAGTTTGGTTACTTATTATCTGTGTGACCTTGTAAAAAGCACTTATCGTCTCTTGGCCTAAGTTTCCTTATCTATAAAAAGAGGATAATCACAGCACATACCTCACAGGGTGATTGCGAGGATCAATAACCCTTAACGCATTATGTGAATGTCTGCTAGTATCTTCTGCAATGAACAATGGAAATTATCAACCTTGTGTAGGTGACCCCATGCTGCACTGACTCCTTTAATTCTAATGCCAATTGTCACAGCTGATCCTTTACTGCTTTCCTTCCATTTACCACTGTCATCATGCAAAGCAGCTATTTCACTCTAATTTTATACTGGGTCACAGTTACAATGATTATGTGTCCCAGATGTTCTGGGGCAATACAAACTTCAAAGTTGATTGATAATGACGCATCTTTTGTCAGACTACATGGGCCAATTTTTGGTTCAAAGACTATGGTCAGTATATCCACAGTATACTTTCATAATGTGTCATTAAGCCTGTGGAGTAGCTCAACATGACCCAGCTATAATCTATCAATCAGCAAGCTTTTGTTGAATTCCTATTATGTAGCAGACCTGTGGGGATAGAAAGACAAAAATGAAAAAGCCCATGACTTTAGGAAGAGTATAGTCTATCAGGACTGGGTGACAGCCTCTGCAAAGGCATGGAGATATAATATGGAACAATGTGCACTGGTGAACAACAAACAAACCACTCTGGACAAAATGCAGTCTGTGTGAAGAGGAATAATAAGCCTGGAAAGGTAGGCTGGAGGCTGGTTGTGAAAGGCTTTATATGCCAAACAGAGTAGACTTTATTGGATCCTAGAGGCAAGAGGGAATTATTGGAACTTATTGAAAAGGAGAGTGACATAGTGAGAGCTTTGCTATAGGAATATCACTTTGGGCTGGGAGACCAATTAAGGAGCTGCAGTAATATCTAGGTGAAAGGAAATAATAAGGGACTGAACCAAAGTCATGGCTGTGTGAATGAAGAGAGGTTGTTACATGTGAGAGATGTTGTGCAGGTAGAAATAAGAATACTTGGCAACTGATTGGCTGAGGAAAAGGGAAGGGTCTAAAATTGCAAACCTGAGTGACTGGAAGGATGGAGGTGCCTTCAACAGAAATAAGGAAGTCAGGAAGAGGAAAGGGTTTGGGAGGCTAGATAATAAACTCTGTTTTGAACGTGGAAACTTTGATATGCCTAAGGGACATTAGATAGAGATGTACAGGGCAGCTAGCAATACAGGGACAGCATTCAGGAGAGTGACTAGGGTTATCTATATCTGAATGTATACATCTATACCTAGATGGATACACAGACACACAGACACACAGACACACACACACACACACACACACACACACAAATCTGACTGGGAGTCATCTACATAAAGGTGGGAAGTGAACCCATGAAGCTGATAAGATCAAGTAGAGAGGAGAGGACTCAGGATATAGTGCTGCATCATACTCACAAACCCTAGAAATTAAGCATATGAAGAAGAGTGACATTATTACCTACAGAGAAGTAGGACAAAGGTTAATAGCTCCATCTAGCTCCTTTCAGTCTTGTTTCTGGTAACAGAGAGTAAGAGATACATGGGAGTAAAAAAAAAGATATTGAAAGGAATTTTTTCACTTTGAGTCAAAGAATCTGATTGAACCCTTCATGTAGCAGTATAAGATAGAAAGTTCAAAAGAGATCCTTAAGTGCTCTGATGCTTCGAGTGGATAGATGACTCCCAATCTATCTGCTATACCATAAAGGGGAAAAGACAATTAAAAGCTGAAGGCCCACAAATGACAAAAAGGAGAAGTAGCAGAGACAACAGAGAAAAGAAATCACCAGAAGACCTAAACTCAGGATAGTAGCTCATTGCCTGATGACATCACCAGTAGATATTTTCAGTTCTGTTGAAGAAGTAAGTAGCAACACTTGAGGAAGAGAAGTACTCCAGAAGAGATGCTACTTTAAGAGTAAGACTTGGTTATATATAACTTCTGATCCAGGTGATCCAGGGCCACTTTTGTTCTTTATTATGCGTGTCCCTTTATGTACCTCCCCCTTTGGTGCACATTTCCCTTTTATGCATATTTCTTGCTCACAATGTTCCCTGAATTTGTCCCTTCTCCCAACAGTGCAATTATAACCTATGAGACAATGTGCACTTGTGTGTATGGGGAGTCTTTCTTATGGCTTATTTTGCTATCCTATTTAATTAAGTGTCTTTTGCTTTGAGCTAATGTGACCTCTGGTTGGTTAATAAAAGAAACACAGTTGTGGGGGCTCAGAAGCAATATTGTGAAGAGTTTTGAACCCCAAGCTAAGAAGATTCCCAAGAGGAGCATGTGAAAGCATTTGTACAAGGTAACATAGCAATGATTCAAACATCGGTTTTCTGACTCAATATGTAGCACTCTGTCCACTATAGCACACTCTCTTAGACCTAGCAGGCATTCAATAAATATTTGTTGACTAATCTATTTTAATTATGTCCCATATAACATTTCCTTCACAACATTTAAGAGTATTGAACAGACACTCAATAAATACCTGATTAATATAGGGAACTGATTTGAATTTACAAGAACAAAAGTCATTCCCCAATTGATGTGGCCAAAACATATGAACAGGCACTTTTAAGGAAAGAAATCCAAGCTATCAATAATAATCACAGGAAAACATGCTTTAAATCACTAATAATTAGAAAATACAAATTAAAACAACTGCAAGGTTCCACCTCACACCCATAAGACTGACAAAGTTGACAAAAAAAAAAAAGGAAAATGCTGAAAAATGCAGTTTAGTGGAAGTGTTAACTGTTCTAGCCAATCTGGAAAGCAATTTGAAACTTTACCCCAAAAGTATTAAACTATGCATAGCCATCAATACAGTAATACTAATATTAGGTCCATATCTCAAAGAGATAAAAGAAGAAAAGGAGCCATACTACAAAAATATTTACAGTGACTCTTTTTGAGGTGGCAAAGAATTTAAAACTGAGGGCCTGCCCATCAATTGGAGAATAGCTAAACAACTTATAGTATATAAATGTGGTAGAATACTATTGTGATATAATAAATGATGAAGGGATAGTTTAGAAAAAATGATATAGAGTGAAGTAAGCAGAACCACGAGAACAAATTATATAACAATAATATCATTGCAAGGATAACTCTGAAAGACTTTAGAACTGTAATAAAAGCAATGACCAATCACAATTCCAGAGAACTCATGATGAAGCAAGCTACCAAATTCCTGGCAGTGAGGTGATGGACTCAAGAGCACAGAGACATTTTTTTTTTTTTTGACATGGCCAATGGGGGCATTTGTTTTGCTTAGCTATACATGTTTATAATGGGTTTTATTTTTCTTTCTCAGTAGGGAGAGAGGAGAAGCACAAGGAAAGAAAACTGATTTTTATTGATTTAAAAAATAAAAATTTCACTTAAAATTGATTGAATTGACAATAATTCTTTGTTATAGGTTCTCAAATCCCAGAGAAGTTATTTGACATCAGGCAAATCATTAAAAGCATCCATTTCTTCATCTCTAAAATGAGGAAACAGACTTGGGGTAACAAAATGATAGCTGTTTTCAAGTTTTCGAAGAGCTGTTATGTAGAAGAAAGATTACACTTATCCTAGTTTGCCTCCAAAAGAAGAACCAGAAATAAGGAGCAAAAATCGCAAAGAGGCAAATTTAGGATCGATATTAGAACTATTTAAAAGTGGAATGAATTTCTATGCTCCCCTTCACTGAAGGTCTTTAAAAAGAAGCTGGCGAATAACCACTTATAGGGCATGATGAGTGAAGATCTTTGTTGAGTATGGGTTGGGATAGATGGGTGCTGAGAGTGTTTCCAATGTTAGAATTCTACACAGTGTTGTTGTTACTATATTAAATTGTTCTCTTGATTCAGCCATTTACCTCAGTTCATATAAGTCTTCCCAGGTTTTTCTAAAACTATCATCTTCAGGTTTAGACAAATAGAACAGAAAGAAAATCAAGAAAAAATTAAGGATTAGCACTACATATTATAAAAATTAAACATGTCCTTTGGTAATTATTGAATGGGTATGTTAAGGAATATACTTTTTTTTAGCACTATATCATACCTTTATAAAAACTGACCATATACAAGATTTATAGTTAAGATAGGAACATGAGAGGTTGTTGAGATGCTCAGCCCTCCCACGTAGACTCCAGCAAAGATCTAAAAGGATAGAAGATTAGAAAAATGATCAAGAAGACCAAAGAGAAATAACAGTAGGACTCCACTGAATCTAGACCAGGGGTGGGGAACCTGTGGCCTCAAAGCCATGTGTAGCCCTCAAGGTCCTCAAGTGCAGCCCTTTGACCAAACTTTATTAGTCTGGTTTCAGTCAGAGGGCTGCACTTGAGGACCTTGAGGGCCACACATGGCCTTGAGGCCACAGGTTCCCCACCCCTGATCTAGAACTATACAATAAGATGGCCATAAGCCTGAGGCTACACAGAGAAGGGTCATGTCAGGAAAGGGTAAAAGTCAACATAAACTCCAATAAACAAGGACCACTTGACCATTTGGATTGAGGATATTTTATCAGACTAAGAA